CAAGAAGATCATACACCCTGACCAAGTGGGATTCATCCCAGGGATGCAGGGATGGTTTAACATAAGCAAATCAATAAATGTAATACACTATATTAATAGAACCAAGGAAAAAAACATACAATCATCTCAATAGATGTAGAAAAAGCATTCGATGCAATCCAACACCCATTTATGATAAAAACCCTGAAGAAAATTGCAATAGACGGTCTGTTACAAGCCATCTATGAAAAATCAACAGCCAATATCATATTAAATGGTAAAAAACCCTTAAATCCTTCATGCTAAAATCAGGAACAAGACAAGGATGTCCATTGTCACCACTCTTGTTCAATATAGTTTTGGAAACATTAGCCACTGCAATTAGACAAGAGAAAGAAATAAAAGGAATAAAGATAGAAAATGAAGTTAAATTGTCAATATTTGCACATGACATGATACTCTATATAGAAGACCCCAAGAACTCCACCAAAAGTGTTCTAGACTTAATAACCAAATTCAGTAGAGTAGCTGGATACAAGGTCAACACAAAAAAATCAACAGCCATCCTGCACGTGAACAACAGACTCAATGAGAGAGGAAATGGAAACATAACTCCCTTCACAATAGCATCCAAAAAAATGAAATACCTAGGAACAAACCTAATGAATAAGACTCTGAAAACTATAGCACTCTACAAAAAGGGGTTGAAGAGGATATCAGAAAATGGAAAGACATCCCTTGCTCCCGGGTAGGAAGAACCCAGTGAAACTGGCCATACTTCCAAAACTGCTATATAGATTCAATACAATCCCAATTGAAATTCCAACAGCATGCTTCACGGACCTTGAGAAAACAATCCAAAAATTAATTTGGAACCGCAAGAGACCTAGAATAGCAAAAGCAATTCTTGGTAACAAAGACAAGGTAGGGTATCACAATCCCCAACTTGAAACTAGACTACAAGGGTACTGTGATAAAAACAGCATAATTGGCAAAGAAACAGACCCAAGGGCCAGTGGAACAGATTAGAAGATGTAGAAACATCTCCAGATACACTCAGCCACCGCATCTTTGACAAAGGGCCAAACACCCCCACTGGAGGAAAGATAGCCTCTTTAATAAATGGTGCTGGAAAAACTGGGTTTCAGCTTTCCAAAGATCAATACTAGACCTATATCTCTGACCATGCACTAAACTAAAATCGAAATGGATTAAAGATCTACATGTTAAAACAGAAACACTAAACCAGCTGGAAGAGAGGTCAGGTAGTACTTTTTTTCTAAAATATTATTTTATTGGTACATTTTAGGTATACAATATAATGACATTCATCATTGGAAATTTGCACCTTTACATAATCTCTCTTGGTTCTTA